TATGTACTACATGTACATACATGAGGCAACTATTATTATAATTATTTATATAATTATGCATGTATATTTGTATACTATTAGTATATTATCAGGATATTATCAGTATATTATCAATAGGCTAAACCTATTCGTACAGCATCGGGTATTGCGGTTGTTGCCGTCATGTGTAAGCCACACAGGTGCCCACACATCACCTTCACTGGAAACATCTGCGTGTGAGTATTACATATTCTAATTACATGTATTTTGAAAAATTATGAAATTACATGTGTTTTCTTGTCCCTTTAATTAGAATAATATTTTTACATTGAAAAAAATTAAAAATAATAAAATATCCATAAAGTTATGTATTTTAAAATAATTATTTTATTATCTTTTCAGCTATTGTCCTGGAGGTCCAGATTCAGATTTTGAATATTCTACACAGTCTTATACAGGATATGAGGTACTGTGTTGTATGGCTGGAAAATAGTGTGATTTTAATTTTTTAAAAATTATATAGCCAACATCAATGAGAGCTATAAGAGCAAGGTATAATCCTTACCTTCAGTCAAAGCATAGACTAGCTCAGGTATGAGTTACATATTATGATAATTATTAAAGTTACTCCAAAGTCTCTGTACTATAGTACACGGTCTCGGGCCAAATTTTGCCAAAAAAGAAAAAGAGAGGATTCTCCATTTTTATTACATTTTCCAATGCATATACATGTACTTATGTTGCGTAGAAAGTTTGAGCTGATTCCGATCAAAATCGAATTTTTTATGAATTTTTAAAGTTGCTCCAAAATTGGCCTGTACTACATGTATATAGTGTGATTTAAAGAATAAAATGGAATTTTAAAATGATCATTATATTCAACTTCTTTTCTCTCCCTTGTTCTATAGTTGAAGCAGCTGGGTCATTCCATTGATAAGGTAGAGTACATCGTGATGGGCGGTACCTTCATGGCGCTGGACGACGCCTACAAAGACTTCTTCATTCGTAATCTTCACGACGCACTTTCTGGTCACACAAGCAACTCTGTTGAAGAAGCTGTCAAGTAAGTCACAATTTTCCACCATTTTAAAGATTAAATTGAAAGAAGAGTATATATATTAAATTACTAGTTATTAAAAGTTGACATGTGGCGAACTTGTGAAGTATTATTGTTGCTTGAATGAAATTTTGATGAGCCAAGTTGAGTGAGTGAAAGGTTGTTTATTGCTTTTCGTCTGCAATAGAATTTGAATGAACACGAAAGCAAAATGATTATTAACATAATTGTCATTTTTACATGATTTAATCTCGTCTCTTATCACTTTTATAATTCTTATGTAATTGACTGATGTACATACGCATACGTACATGTGTTGTGTCTGGCAACAATTAAATTTAATCGTATAAGTGTGTAATGAATTACTGACATAAACGGATCATGTACGTACATGTTTGTACGATTATCAATACTGGTAGATCTAGAGGGAGTTTAGGAGACTTGGCCTCCTATATTTGGCCTAGATATCATAAAGTCTGCTATTTTTAGTTTGATTGGTCTCCCAAAATTTATTTCTAGACCTAACAATGACTATTAATATTTAACTATCTCTCTCCCTCCCTCCAGATATTCTGAGAGGAGTATTGTAAAGTGCATTGGCATTACAATAGAGACAAGGCCTGACTACTGCCTCAGAAAGCACTTGAGTCAGATGCTCTCCTACGGTTGCACTAGATTAGAAATCGGAGTTCAGAGTGTCTATGAGGATGTAGCTAGAGACACAAACAGGTTTGTAAAAGAAGGAGATATAGACACATTCACATACATACACTACATGTATCATTAATCATCCTGTCTGTGTGTATTTCATTTTTAATGCATGTCTGCACGCTATAATTCAATTAATTTGGAATAATTGTCTTTTTATAGCTGAAGGTACGAGCCATGCAATTTTTAGCAAAGTTTTTATAATATGGTACACATGGCATATGTTATAACTACAGTGTACGTGTCCTAAGTAATAA